CTTGTTATATGCTCAGATACGAGAACACGTCGTAATATGCTGGGAAACAAAACGATAAGCTCTGTTAGCATTTATTTGCTTGTTTATTTATGTGTAATTACCCAATTATTGCATGTGACGTGGGCTTCGAAAAGCCATCCGTTTGCTTTCCATTCAAAACAGCGAAAACACCTGAGCGCGTGTTTAGTCTATTAGAGTAATTTGTGGGGGTGGTTCCAGGAATAGGTTCGGTTGTCAACTGCCAATTTCCGGAGCAGTCATGATGTTAATGATATCACACAGAGTAGCCGATTAATTGGCGAAATGCTAGGTCGAGTAAAAAAGCGGCAAGGGGGAGCAAGGCAGAAGGAGGTTCGAGCCTTGTCCGAAAAGCTCTAAGGTTTTGCTCACAACATTCGCTAAAAGCCACTGCTTTCCGTCACAAACGATTACCATGTATATCACACTACGAACTTAGCGCGGATGGGGATGGGGGGGCTTACCTAATTCGAGAGCCGTCGAGTTGGTACGGAGCCTTTTCGCCACTTAACAAAGTTCGTTCCCACTTGTAATGGAGCACTTCCAACTATGCTCAGGCCATGAGTAGAGCATGAGCGCCCACAAGCTGTTGAGCTAGTGAAGAATACTTGAACCTGTGCTTAGCTGTACTTGTGCGTCAGGAAGGAACTAATCTGAGGTATTGGAAGGTGTATAGCCAGGAGAGAAAAATAGACGTGAACGATCGAACGGACGCCTGAGTCAGCCATGAGGTATTCTCTCTTTTAGAGAGAGGATCTCATGGCTGACTCGCAAGAAAGCAAAAGCATGTTCCACTACGGCACCATAACCTTATTTGAAATGTGAGTGCCTCGCTGACCACCGAGGTTCCCAACCGGGGCTCCAGTAAACGTCCCTGTCACGTGCCAGAATACCCTATTGAATATTCGGTCGAGACACGGAGTTCTTATTCCTTTCGTTCGAAGCTTTCGTGGAGAACCGCTTCATCAACCGACCACCGCTTCATCCGGCCGGCTGCCATCCAAAGAAATTCGGTCGGTGGCCATTCTCGTGCAACGGTCCAACGGTAACGCAAACAAATGACGTGGCTACTAGCCCACTTGAGTCGTTACATAGGCAAATAATACGGTTATCACTTTATTGGACCATTGACGGAATTTGAAACCTTACTCGTTTATTCGCGTGTGTCGAGTAGCTTCAAGCATCGTCCTCTTCACAGCAGCTGGATAACGCTAACTGCATGCTCATCCTACTACGTAGAGCACGTTTCTAATGACGGGAAGGGCGGCGCCAGTGGTTTGGACTCACAGACAAGAAGCCTTGGGATCGACTCTTTGGCAAGCACGCTCTTTTCCCGTTTTCAAAGACACTGTGCGATATCAGGAACGCCTGACTACATTGGACGCATGTAGCATAAAACTGAGGCATTTTTGCTCCAACAAGAGTGATATTCATGATCAGAACTTCCCCTTTGGGTAAACTTCTAGCCAACTCTAATTTAGGCTAATCTAGAAAAAATGGTAGGATATCCATCAACGCGTCACCGAGGGATTAATCTCCCAGCTATACTTGGGAAAAGACAAAACCAGTGTTTGGCTTGCCTGTCTGCATCAATCTGGAATCTACAAGGCACCTCCCTCCTCCGCTCCCCCCGTCTTCCATGGTCGGTCAACTCTAGATTTGCTATCTGGAGAGTGGTGATCCTTTGACTGCTCCACTTTTTTTTCAATTGGGTCAAAACTTCAGGTTTGGCCATAAACTAGCCATTAGGGTAGTATGACCTCTCTAATCACGAACATCGCGTCTGTTCCCTATGAGCAACGTGGTACCTGCACTACAGGCACACTAATAGATAAGACACTAATCTCAAAATTTGAGACTCAAATCTGCTTTCGTTATCTACTTAGCTTTTCTCTGAGGGAGTTTGCTCAAACGTAAGAGAATCTGCTCGTAAACTCTTCATAGATATAGCTCCAGGCCACCGTAGATGAAGTGACGTATTCTGAAAGCTTCTTGGTTACGTTGAAAGAAGCAAATAGCAAAATTCACAACTAACCCGCAATCTCTTGCTCCAGAAATAACACCGCTACCTACTGCGCCACTAAATCACACTGCCCAGGGGCGGTATTCAATCCTTCCCCCAGGGGGATATATCCCCCTACTCTGATTCAATCCTCTGGGGGGACAAAAAAGGGTTGCGTCATAGGACCTAGCATACCTCTGTGTTTCTACCTGCCAGACAGTTAGAGCAGCGCTACTACCCTCCACTGATGAAGCACTCTTTCCCTGAGGGGTCGCGCTGCTCTAACTGTCTGGCAGGTAGAAACACAGAGGTATGCTAGGTCCTATGACGCAACCCTTTTTTGTCCCCCCAGAGGATTGAATCAGAGTAGGGGGATATATCCCCCTGGGGGAAGGATTGAATACCGCCCCAGGTTTTTCGTGCTGTTTATAAAGGCGCCTTCATGTGATTGCAGGTAAAACACTAAACAGCAAGGTTGACAAAGAAAACTCCTTAGAAAAGCTAAATAGATAACAAAAGCAGATTTGAGATCAGTGTCTCAAAGTGCGTATAGAAATGTACACCTAATTTCATTAGTACTAGATTGACCTATAGATCTTTCTGAGGAGGATACGTACGGCAAAGCAGAAGCGTACTGCACAATCAAAGAGGTGGGGCAAAGCCGGCGGAGCGTATGCTAGTTGTTTCGATTGCACACAAGGAAACGTTGGTCTACAGCTGACTTCGCGAGGAAACGGATTGGTTCCTGATGCCCCATTCACGCTCAACGGAACGAACATCACCGAATGCTCCAGCTACGTGTACCTAGGTCGGGAAATCAATATGATGAACGACCTAGCTCCAGAGCTGAGCAGGAGGAAACGAGCGGCTGGGGAGCGTACAAGAACATCGAAGTAGTGAATAAGACGAGAAGAACGAATACGACCGAAATTCGCCCATCGCTTTACCCACAAAACTACAAGGATTAATGGTCCACTTCAGACTTCAACAGGACTGAGAGGTTCGGACCTGAAAAGCCTCAAAACTCTGGGATAAGAGAAACTTGTTGATGGGAAGCACTACAGCTGGCTACTACGCAACTGTCCTCCAACCAAAGTAGACCACCCTAGCTTTGATATTTGTATCCTGCAGATCCTGAACGCAGGCCTACTGGCAAGCATACCGAAAACCTCGAGAAATTCGACTTGTTGCGAACTTTTTGGTGCTCTTGATGTTATCTGGAGCCGTGCGTTTTACTACTCTGCAATTATGGCATGCTCCTCCCAAACTTCTAGGAGGCACGAATATACTCGGCTTAATGCGTGTGCGACGCTAAGCTAATCTTACCTTGACTGAAGCTTATGAGCATTCTGTGACAGTTGCAACAATTCTTACCGGCTTCGGTTCCTTGGAGCCTACATCACCATGTAGCTGGAAGTCGGTAGTCACTAGCCTTTTCCTACACTACCGTTAAAAATGGGAAAAAATCCAAGGCAGATGAGAGGCAGAGCTACTTCTTTTCAAACTCTCTCCACTTGATTTCCGATTTATTTCAACCTCAGTTCTTTCCACTACTGATGCTCCGCAATGTCGCTTTGCGGGCAAAGCTGTGATCGTAGCCGCAGGAATTAGTGCCTTGAGTTTCGTCAAGAGCGTAGGCATTGGTCGGGTTGTCGTGCTTCCCAAGGATCGGCTGGAGGATGTGTCCGTCTACGGACTACTTGCCTGAAACACAACCAGCGGAAATAGTCAGTGCCACCCTCTTCCCTTCCTGCTCGACACTCGGCCAACGCGGTACTCTGCCTTGTACCGCGTAACGGGACTCATGCACTACTCCTGTCAACATTATCAATTTGATCACGGCTTGCTACTATTCAAATGGTGATAGGTAGACTGGGGTGACGCAGTCTCGACAACTCTTTCAATTTTTCCTTCCAACACCCCGCCGCAAAGTACCCTTCTGTAACAAATAAAGAGTGAAGATAACGGAGCGCATACCAAACAACCATACAGCGTCTGGAAGAACCGATGAAGACGTCGTTTGGGGTTCTCATCAGTCGAATTCGCATGACATAGCCACTGAATTGCAGAGATACTGAAAAAAAAACACGATCATTTCCTGACTAATGCGACCTCTCTCGAGTCCTGAGCTAAGAGGTATTCAAATGGAGTAGCAAAATCCCTACACTTTCCACTACTTGCATATTGTCCCATCATTACTTACTGATTTTTGATCCTCTTCGACTAAATCCAAGTAAAGAAAAACCGGACGAAACAATGCCTAAAAAACAAACCTGATAGCTCCATCAAAGGCTCCAGGTAGAAACGGCACGCCACTGCCCATATCAGCTAGTATAAAATCACCCATATTTTCTCTGTCATCATCATCTTGACTAGCAATTTCTTAAACAGAAACATTCCAGAAAGAATAAGAAGGGTGAAAAACGGAAAAAAATTGTACCTAGCATAGGCCTGCTGATATCAAGTCCTACCCAATGATGGCCGGCGTTTGCAAGCACTCCTCCGCTTATGCCTGTTCCGCATCCTTCAACAAAATTAACTACATTTATCAAGGAACTTAGGACCGATAAGGTAAGAAGTCGATTTGACGTACCAATGTCCAATAAAAACGCCGACTTGTCGTCTGGTAACGCAAGCAGTTCCAACGCCCTCTCAGCCATCTCAGTTTGTATAGAAACTATGTGGGAATTTGAGGCATATTTACATGCTTCGGATTCATTATAGTACTGAAATAGACAACTTTCAACCAGCATCCATCAGTGCATATACTTAAGGGCGGTTGGGTAGTAAGCCTTTTGAGGTAATCCAGAATAGAGCCTCACGTGCGACAAACCCAAGAACTATTAATGTTAAAGGCACAGCCCACGATCAATTCTGTACACGAAAATGAAAGCAGGGATGCGAAGTAGAAAGGCTGTGGATAAAGAAGGAAAACTCGTCGTAAAAGCTAAAGTTAAGGACTTACGCGCGTTTGTGATTCGGCTGCAATGAAACATTGAAGCACTGGGCGCGTAGAGGAGAGGACAGGTGAAAGAGTACTCGCGGGTCAGGAAAAAAGAAAAATGGAAGCCATCCAAGTGGTCTTGGAAAGTCCTAGCGCTTTTGTCACACACTTTCGAGCCGGGAGAACGGGACACCTGCGAGTTTAGAGCGAGGACTAAATTACTGAAGGAGACATCACGAATCAGGTTAAATCCCATTGACTAAGTCAAACATGCTACACATCTTCACCTTTTCACATTCTAGAAGCTTGCACAAAGACGACTGGATAATTCCGCTGACAAAGCGCGGCCCAGTTGATGAAGTCCTAACCAAAATTAATTCACGCGAAAGCATAGACGGAAGGTTTCTTGAAGAGAGAGGGGGAAAGAGAATTAGCGAACACACTCAACCCCACAGCTGTAGTTTCTTATGGGTGGCTTAGCAAAACACAAAAAAAATTCTCACCAGCTCAGGAGGACCCGAGTGCTCAGGTCGGACGCGATTCGCAGACATCGCCGGTAAAGATTGTTGTAATAACTAAACTAAATTTGGAATCCAGCCAGCGGTTTACGTAGTAGTGTTATAAGTCTTGGGAAAGCCGAAAAATTACTAGAGCAGAATCTCTTCCAGCAAAAAGAAAAATGTATGATAATTAGTTTATTTCTGATTATGGTATACAAGAAATCAAACTACTTCACTAAGAAAATTCAAGAAATTTACAATACTGACGAACCACTACTGCACAAGCTCACAAACACCGCACAGAACGAGATTTCCTATGAGAATCCACAACGACAACGTCGAAATCAATTTAGAGAGCGAACGGTTTGCTCTAGTACACACTCATGCTTTGAATACTTTCGGAAACACTTGTGCTGCTGGAAGAGTGACAGTGCTGCTGAAGGAACAGTGAAGGTACCCAATACTGGACGGTGTCCGCAGCTTGTTCATCCACCCACGCCAGCCCCTCCTTCACCAAGTGATCCAACACAGCTTGAGCTCTTTGCTCGTCCCATCTAAAAATTCACACTTCAGCACGGGCACTACAGAAAGCGACGATCGCCAAACACCCACCGTAGTCTATCAATAATGAGTTCTTTTGTAACGTAGGCAGCGTCTTCTGCCAATTGCAGCACTCGTGAATGATCCATACTCAGTTCACCCGGAACTGACTGTACAAGGAAGCGTCCTCCACCCAGTGGTACAAGCTCGAATCCACCACCCAATACCTTCAATTTATCTACAGCACGAAGAATATCGTCCCTAAAAATAAGAGATTAGAATCGCCATGAATCTCATAGATTACTCAACTAGGATTTATTAGAAATGTACATACGTTGTTATGGTTTCCTTCCTTGTACGAGATCTACTCCTCATTAAACGATTTCTTATTTCTTCTACCGTCATTATACCTCCGTTGTAGTGACTCGTCGATAGGCAAACCTGCAGAATAACAAATTAAATGTGGTTTCAGTGGGCATTTTTAACCAGCTCCACCAATCACGAATAATCTTCCCTGTTGCCACGAGTAAATTACAGGTTTTCCGTCCAGAGTATGTTTAAAGGCATGGGTCGCGATCGAAATGGTGAATTATTTTATTAGAAAATTAAACAAGAAATTCGAGGAGGAACGTTCGTGGAAAAAGCAAAAAGCACCATAGAAGAAAAAAAGAACTGATGTTTCTCATGTGAGGTCGGCCGTGGTACGACGGAGAGACACAGCGTTGCGAGGAGAGGCAAAACGCGAAAGAGCACGTCGTAGGCGAGACAGTACAGATGCTACGTATGCTGCGATTGATAGGACTGGCAATGCCAGAGGCAGGGGTGCAATGGTCTTTTGTCGCGATTAGAAACGCCATCGTGTTATTTAGCTTGCCACTCAGCCGAGAAGAAAATTTCTTTTAAGGTCTACCCACTCATGTTCTCACGAGCGTTAGCTCGTATCACAACGCAATCCTTTGTTCTTCACACCTGCGACATGCGGACAGTCAGTTGCCTAGCCGGGTCAAAAAATAGCTGAAATAGCTTAAAATATCTGCAGCTGACCTCAACAATTTGAACAGCGAGTTCGTAATAGAAATCTCCAACACCAAGCTTCTCCGCCCAGAAACCTTTTCCTCGAAACATACGAATAATCAGCTATCTATTTACATACAAAAGTTCGTAACGCTCACAAGCTAGTGGTCAAACTCCACACTCGCACAACATCTCTTGAAGTTTGACGACAATTGGAGTCTTCGTATGCTCATCTCGTGACGAGAACGACGTTCGAGTCTGAAAGTCTCATGATCCATAGTTGTTGATAGATTATATATCATATATATATATAAAGGGAGAGAGCTTTACTCGGATGATCACAGACAATGCCACATTTGACTATGGTGGCAAGCATAAATAGCTGTTGCCGACAGTAGATATCCACCAGCTCGGATCAGAGCCAGTTTCACCTTCCAGCATTCCGACGTAAACACAAATGCAAATCTCAGACACGATTCGGCTGAGAGCACACAGAGCACGCACTAATTAAATAATTACTTTATTAATTACTAGTTTTGTTCCCTCACTAAATCGCTTTGCACGCATAGCATAGATGCTTACTCATGAGCGCTCCGATACATTCGCTAAAAGGGCTAGTCCATAGTAAGGTCAGCAGTCCCTGACCAGGGATCGTCCCACACCTCAGATCTTTTTCGACGTGGAACCAACCTATCGCCGTCGTTCGGCAACCAGTGCTGACAAATTTGAGTCTCTTATCCTCAATTGTTACGAAACTGGCCGTCTGCGTCGTGGATAAATCCCCCTTTTAGCGACTAGCGACGCGACGGCAGAGACGCACGGTCTGCATGACAGACAATTTTCGAATCGCCGCATCACAGGACTCGCCGAAAAGTGACCGGGCTAGGACGTGATCTTTCAACGATATCTTGCTGCATACCGGACAGTGGCTGTACACAACGTACTGCCGGAGATAATTGACCATCCCCTGCCCGGCACTGCTGCAAGCAGCGCCAGGGATAGTTCGCCCCGGCTGGGATAAATCCCAGAGGTGGGGATCCATTTTGTGCTGTCAGCAAAAAATCCAAGCGCGCTATTATCAGATTGTTGAAAACATCAAAACGTGTTGAAAATTGGTGGACCAGCGAATGATTTAGAGATACCTCATTGTGAATTCCTCCAATTGCTTTGAGAACATTTGTAGTTGCTCGCTAGCCATTTGCTCTCCTTTGGCATTGAATTTAGCCTGAGAAGAAGATTTTAAAAAGAACTGGAAAACAGGTCGAAAAAAGAATACCTGAGTTTCCTGCTTGCGCTGTACTGCGCCAACACCTACACCACGCCGCCGTGAAGCCATATCCTAGGCATTACTGATGTGAAGCAACACATCTATCAGAGGAGCAATGAAATAGAGATTGTTACTGATTGAACAGCTAAAACCAACCAACAGGTTCCTATGCAAAATAATTTACTCAACGATAGAATAATTAAACAGAACAAAAAACAGAGAAATGCTATGAAAAAAAAAGATGTGAAACCGAAACTGAATTGAACGAATAACGCATATGTTCTAACTAGTACTGCCACTATCTGCATGAGAAACCCAATGACAACAAAGTGAAGTGAGAGCAAAACCAAACAATACGATCGATTCAGACAAATATTCAGCGGAACTGAATTCCAAGAAATGAGAATCATAGAAAGTTTTGACAGATTCAACAGCGGAGTGACTAGACCTTAACACCGAAGATAATCCCTAGAATTAATCTCGGATAAAACTCATATGACCCGAGAGTATTAAAGAATGTGAGCAGATTCTAGGCAAATCGGTGCTCCTGTTGGATTGAATCCCTACTTCTCCCCACACGAGAACTGCGAGCTTTGCACAGACTACCTTCCATTGTTCATTTTGCACAAAAGATCAATGCAAATATTACGGTGCTCGATTTAAGGAGATAAGGCTTTCACCATCACCATTTCCAATGAAACAAATGTGAGCCTCATCCCTATACTAGCAATTTGATCTGTTGGTGTCGGAGCAATGAAAAATGAAAAGAAGCCAATCCAGCCAACACTAGGTGTGGCGTACATTTAAAATGTGAATGAAAAATTGCAGTAAGGTTCCACAATTGGATTGTGACCGAAAAATACTAGAAAATGTGGACGAATGAAATGCAAATATGTCCTAAGAGAAATATTTAAGAAACATCAGGAATATATTTAGTTTTAAGGACCGTATGCTATATTGAATTCACAACAAAGATCTCGAACCTCATGAGGCCAGTCAACCGATTTTTAGAAGAAATTTTGATTTAATCAACAGAAATTTCAGGACTTTTTTCTTTTGGAAACTTATTTCAAAACACAAACCGGATAAGAACACTTCAAAATCAAGCGTACTAGGAATTTTTCACTCTCTCACATCAAGGACTCAGGAACGTACTGATGAAAACACTCGTTTCAGTATTTAACGTGGCATGCCACCATTTATCCGGGAAGAAAATAATCTCCCCTGGCTTCATTAGACATTCAAGAGGACGTTTCTCACGAGGGAGAGCAGGATATTCATTCAAGTACCTGTAATTACGAAAACTATAGAGAAATCTATAAATAACGAAATCCACGTTTGAAAACTTGACTATGATAGCGTACCACTCCAAAGTTGTATTGTCCGGTTCAAAATGTGGCCTTTCTTCGAATGGATATAAGAACCACCTTTTGGACCCATAAATCACCTCTGCAAACCCTGGCCCGTGGAAATGAAATGGCACACCAGTTCCTGGAACACGTTAGATTGCTATTTAACGCAAATTTATGCAGCGCAAACGATTTCGACGGAACTTACCTGCACCAGCAATCCCAAAACTGAGCGCGGGAGAATGCTTAGGGAGTGACCATTTTGGAAGTTTGTAAGCACCTAAGAGAGGAGCCCACAACTTCTGATCGATATCGCCAAACAGATACATAGTTTCATTAGCCAGTCTGTCACGATTTTGAGGCCTGAGTCGATTTTCGATATACTCTCCGAACGTTGTTGGTTCCTGAAGCCAAAGAGATCAAAGCGAGAAACAAGACCTATTAATTCAGAACCCCCTTTACGCCATGGCGTCGCCCCAAGCATCTACACATCGTCATAATGATTGGTATTTGAACCCGCTGAAAATGGTTCACGACTACACGTCGGTGAATTTTGCCGTCACTGTAGTACAGTTGAAATTAAATCAAAAGGAATCGTACTCGAGTGTAACTGTATGTATTTGCAGAATTCAGAGTGACAGGTGAATCCTTCCAATCATCAAGCATTCTCTGCTTTGCGGTTCGTTGACGGAACTCCTCATTGTCGATATTGAAGATTATCACTGGCTCACTGTATGCGAATCTAAAGGGAAATCTTTGTTGAAACATCTTCAAATGGTAACGAGCGAAAAGGAGAAAGGAGATAAACCTTTGATACCTTTTCAGAAACTCTTTTTGAGTCAAATCTTGTCCATCGTGCCTCTCGATATTGCACGGCCCGTCTTGGCCAACCACATCGACTTCTTCAGTGTGCCATCCGCCATCATCGATCGTCGCATGTTGCGCATGCAGTAGCAAACAAAAGAAAAACAAGAACAGCATGCGCTTCATGCTTAGAACGAGCAGTCATTATTCGAAAATGAGATGGAGATCAAGATTTTCAATAAAGAGCTTTCGCTGTGACGTGAACACTTTCAAATACATCGAGAGATGTTTCTTCAGGAAATTTATGACTAAAAGCATTCCACAAGAGAGTTGTTCCGTACAAAAACATCGTGGAATACGATACAAAAACATGATCAATAGAATATCGCAGTAGTGGCAAAAACGGGGAATTGTACATATATGTACGCACATAATTTTTACAACTTCTTATAAAGGCTGGAAAGCTACTTTGGCGGATATAACAAAAATATTATATTTTAATCGCTCGAGAATCACCGTTGTAACCGTTTTCTTGTAATTGCTAATAGCGTAAATGCCCATTATTCTGTTTCAGCAGCCGGACAATGAATATCTGAAATCCATGTAAAGATAAATGCGTAGTTATGCTTCGAAACCAATGCTGCTTGCAGTAGTTTGAAAAAAGCAAATTGGTAACAATATACAAACTCTGGTGACGGTAAACTGAAAGCCCCTACTTTCAGGTTATTATTCGTTGCGGAACGTACCTAAGTTGTTCATGAGTGATCTCAGCCAATGGCGACTCGACTTGTCCTCATCAAGAATCGCCTTGAAAGTTTCGTCCTTGAGCTGGTCCGGCAAACACTGACGCAGTGCCTGTTGTGCCCTATAACATGGAGCTTACCCTTCAAAAAAATCTGATTGATCATGCAAAATGGAAACGGCGCAACCGGCAGCGGTAAACTCTTATAGATGTGATTGATATTTGCAACGTGATGGGGTTGATCAGCGCTTTAGGAAAAGACCAAGGCAATTTTATGTTGGAAAAGGTTCCTAATCTCAAACAGTTCAGGCATGAATGCATGCATGAATACTTATGACAGGTCGTTTCGTCTAGCGTCAGAGAGAATGGCATCCATTATGCAGGGAAAATGAATTTAGGAACACTGAAACAGCTTACCGTGGATTGTCGCTCAGCCGGCTGTAGCATCGAATAACATGCTTCAACAACCTGGACGAAGGATCTCGGGATAGTTTCATCACCATTTTCCCCTACAATTCCACTGGTACAGACTGAATGAAACGGCACAACAAAAAAGAACTCACGAGAATCATAGCAACATGACTGAAGCGCTCATACGTTTGACAAATATACGAGAGACCAGTATCATCGAGAAGGATCTTTTGAAGAATGAACGTTGCAACTGTTTTAGACAGCTCAGTTCCTTGTTCCATAATTCGAAGACACAATGGAATAATTTCAGTGGACAGCAAAAAGGAAATAACCTGAAAATAGGGAATGCCAGAAATAGTTTCACGTATATACTCAACTAGATTTTCTGTCAAGTAGAAGACTGTTGCAATTATTTTAAAGAGCAAATCTCCCTGCTTTCTGACAAGAAAAAAAAAGGTTTTGATGATAGCCATTCACTAAGCATATAATTAATGGTAAGTAAAAGAATTGGAACCTCTTTCTCGTCCGTTTTGACCAAAGCACCAATGACGCCCAAAGACGTCAAGCGAAGATATTCAAACGATCGAGAGGTTTTCGTCGTGTGGAGAAATGGGTAGAGATATAGCGGAATATGCGCTGAAGTGAACAACTTTAGAAGTATTTAAGAAAAAAAAACTAATGCATGGGCAAAAACTAGTGCAATCTAACACAAAATGAGCTCCAATAGTAGACTGTTTGTAACTCTGCCGCAAGATATAATCACCGTCTACTGAAATACTGAAGAACAAGAGATATGTCAGAGTCCGCGATAGGACGCGTTTATTCGTGATGCGCGTTCTATCGTATTTCCGTTGCGAACGCGCGGAAATCGCGAAACAATTCGCAGACTCTGACATGTTGAAGTCCAGGAATGGATTAGGACACCATCAGCTAAAATCCAAACAACTATGTTTATATTCCAGCGTGGTGTGCCGCGAAGTGGACTCGATTTAGGTGCATTCCAATTGAAAGGCATGCAGCGCGACAGTTCACGCCGCCTACAATATTCCAATATTCATAGGGGAGGGAGTTCCGCCGTGTAGATAATAGAAGCGAGACAATAAACGCGAAGTTTCTTGCTAGATTCACCTTCTCTCCAGCCTCTCTCCAATAGATCGTTATTGGTTCCTACAATCTTTCTTGGGCTCTTTCAGCATCGTTCTAAGTCATTATGTACATCCTACTCTAACAACAACAAAACTGAGTAAACAACCGAATTAGGTTTTTTTTGCTTTTCTTGAACATCATCGCTGCGGCTCTTCCCTGATAAACATATTAAGTATATTCACTGAACGCTACGGAGTTTCTTCAGCGCGTTAATACAACTATCGATTCGAAGAAAAATGGTTAACCTTGAAGGAATGGTCCTCGTGTATCCTTGTGGCTGGCAACGCATTGCATTAACGCGAGAGCGTTGCAAACTCGATTGGATTGAGCTGCCGTCAAATTAGCAGGCATTATAGCAGGATAGATGGCAATGACCTGAAAAAGCAACAAACGCATAACAATATGCTTAAATGATGCAAAATGCAAACAACAAACAATAGATACCTCTTGCAAAAGAGCCGCCATGGTACCAAATGAATACCACAACCAGATAGGTAGCTCAGGCACGCTATCCCTTTTCTTGCTCAATTCGAGAAGCGCATTCTCACGCTTGTTGCTATCCTTCAAATCGAGAATCCATTGCAAAATCTCTTCCCTGAAGGAACAAACGGAAATGTTGCAGAAAGTACAGAGTATCGATAAATCACAAGTAAAACCCCAACCTGTCCACTTGCATACCAGGAGCAGATGGTTGTGCGGCTTGCTGAGCTTGAGTGGCAGGAGAGGCGCGAGCGTCCGGTGGTGCCAAAGTAATCACCTCATTTAAAGGGATCATACTTTGTGAACTAAATCAAAAATTCCAGAAAAACCAAAATCAGGTCGTTTTATGTACGCTGAATTACAAGTATTCGTCAGCGTAAATGCATAAAGATAAATACCACCGTACCACACGTCTACTTCTTTCTTTCAGTCGAGGAGGCGCGATTAGGCCTCATACGCCAAGGATGTGGTTCGCGAACAGAAAGCGACTTTTTCGCTTTTCGCAACGCGAAACATGGCGCTCATGTTCTTAGGGGGGGGGGGGACTTTCGAAATAGGGCATTCAAAAACCGCTGGTAGGTGACACTAGGACTGAAGCCCAGGAGAGGGGAGAAACGCCAGGGAGAACAAAGGTTGCTCACGTCCTCCCTCCCTCCCAGAATTCCTTCCCCATCTAAGGCTTATCGCTAGTCCCAAGTCTGTGAGTGGCTCACTCACTTCTCCCCCTAACGAAATAACCACCCGAAACATTTTTCGCTGCGGAGACCTCAGGTCCATCGCTGATCAAAGTGGGCCAAGGTTCAAGAGTTAGGAGATCAGCGTTAATAAAAACAATGTTTAACGGGAACTCAGGAGATCAGGACGATGCACTGAATAAATTATATGCGATGACTCGTCCCTGAGGGTGATAAGTGGGTAATTCATATTACCGAAGGTAAGCCATTTTTTGCAAGGGAAGGAAGCTTCTGAGTGAGTGTAGAAACAAAGGAAATAGGGCGCTGGTGTAGCAAGGAGAGATAGCATAGTGTGGACTCAACCTACAGGAGAGGAACTTAGTGGAGAAATGAAACTGTCTTACACACCTCCCCAAGTCCCTTAGGCCGACGTCATACTTTGCGAATCGAGCGAATCGCTAGCGAATCGCTCGAATCGCTAGCGAATCGAGCGAATCGCTAGCGAATCGCTCGAGTCGAGCGAATCGCTAGCGAATCGAACGATGCACCAGCGATTCGAACTGGGTACCAGCGAATCGAACTAGGTACCAGCGAATCTTGCATAAAGCTTGAAACTAGGGTGTTAGGCTAGGTTTTGAGTGAGTGTGTGGTTGCCGCCGGACAAAGAGCCTTTTGGTGAGGCCACACAACCTCCGAATTTCGCGTTTTACTCCCCTATTTCGTCCACTATAGGTACTCGTTGACTGGTTTATACAAGGAGTAATTAAATTATTCGATCATGTCAGTCAATATCTAACACCGTTGGGCTTCATTCAAATTCAAATGGACTACAGTGCCGCGGCAGTAATCTTTGTACATCGGCGTCTTTGATTGATCTTAATTGATAGAGGATACAGGAAAGCTCACTGATAAGGACTTTTTCATATGATGAGGGGCATCTCGGAAATGTTTGCCTTCAAGTATCTGCGCCAAAAAATAGAAACTTGACGGCCAAGTTCAGGTTCCTATCATGTAGTTCAGAAACTCCACTGCGTATCATGAGCAAACCGTCCTTTCCTTAGCGAAAAATGCCCAAATTAGCCTACCGTCTTTTTTTTCGCTCGAGTGCCAACTCGTTCAACGCTTAAAACTTACAATGTTCTCTCTGTGTTTGCATTAATGAGACCTTCCATGAACATTCTCAGTTTTCCTTCTGACATCCCCTCTGAATGGAAACCGTCCATTTCACACAGTTCAAGCTTTTACAGCTATTGTGGGGACTGATCGCAACTATAATCACTTGTGGGGTACGTCAAATTTCTTGAAAGCTTCACATGAGTCTTATGCTTATTACCATTGGATGTTGCTACGTACGCTCCCAAGTAGTCGCACTAGCGAGGGGAGAGGGATTGGCCGATGTCAGACTCTGCGATTGGAGCGATCGGTCAAATGCCAATCGCGCGACCATCGCGCGATTCGCGCGACGATCGCGCGATTGACATGAGTCCCATCATGACCAATCGCTCCAATCGCGCGATGGGCGCGATCACTCCCGTTGTGGCTGGCGCGCCCCTCCTCGATCGATACGTTGGACTGAGGTCCGGTAAATAATATTAAAATGGATCCTGTCCGAAAATGCCAACAATTTTAATGAAGGCTGGTCATATACTTGGAGAGATCGGCAGTAGTCAGTTTTGATCGCATTCTGTTAGTAAGACAAATACATGATCACATTAATCCGTTAGCGAGTATGGGTCTAGAGGATCTATCGTATATACACTATTATACCCGATGAACTTCTACCAATGTGCACATCACTTCCGGTGACACGTCTGCCCCAACTTCCGGATATCGACTGTACTACCAAGTCCATGCAGGTGATAACCGACTAGAGTTTGTAGTTCCAGAGCAAAACTTACAAGGATCCTCTTTTCGTACTCATCTGAGCTGTAGAATCACACTTCAATATTGTAAATGAATTATCAGCAGAAACACTTTTAGATCAAATTACATTTCTCATAACAAAAGTACAAGCTAAGAACACTGCTGTAAAGCGGACAACCTCAAACAATACGAATTTTTACAAATCACTCGCTAACATCTAAATAGTTTGCATTACTAAGGCTAAGCTCTAATGATTCATCTATTTCAGCTCTTGTTGATACCCTACACGAAGTCTTCCCTAACAGATTGGGCAGGCAGCCAAGAACGAGCCCAAAGTACTATTCATTTTCCTTCATCATCCAGTTCTTGAGCACACATGCAACTATCTACAGACCCGACCAACTTCTGTAGAACCCCGAAGGCGGCCATAACCCCTATACACGATCTTATTATTAGTCATGGTTGAAAAAGCGCTTTTTATCAAAATTTAGACAGACCATTAGACCAGTTCATGTGTAGTCCTTTACAATACTACATTATTACGACCCTAGCGGGAGAAGGAGCAAGTAGTAAAAAGCCACCACGTGACGTGACGCCGCTGCGGATTCGCGAAACAGCTTTTTCCATCGAATTGTGATGGTAACGACTCCAAAAATGAAGTTATATTCGTAATGATAACCGCTATGACTCGTATTGGATAAGTTTTAAGGCGATACTGCTGCTCTTCGTGAGATAGCATTGCCGCAGCAATATCGAATCTGCTGATCCAATAACCCCCTCAAAACTGCATAGCATTGCCGAAATTTTGCTGTGCCTAACACCCTAGTTTCAAGCTTTATGCAAGATTCGCTGGTACCTAGTTCGATTCGCTGGCACCTAGTTCGAATCGCTGGTGCATCGTTCGATTCGCTAGCGATTCGCTCGACTCGAGCGATTCGCTAGCGATTCGCTTCGATTCGATTTCGCTAGCGATTCGAGCGATTCGCTAGCGATTCGAGCGATTCGCTAGCGATTCGCTCGATTCGCTAGCGATTCGAGCGATTCGCTAGCGATTCGCTCGACTCGAGCGATTCGCTAGCGATTCGCTCGATTCGCAAAGTATGACGTCGGCCTTATGTGGGACGTAAAGCTTAGGAGGGCGAAAGGAGGGGTGCTGAGTGTTAGTTGATCCACAGCGCATCCCCACGCGCCCAGGCGGAGTTCCATTGGAAAGTTAAGGAAATTCTTTTGAGCACCACATGCTCAATTATTGGATTAGGCCCTAAATGAACGTAATAACGATACGAAATGAAGAATGTGTAGATCTCGATGTGCTGTCCCGGGAAATATAGATATATGATCTGCTTGTTGATGATTGAAATCAACAGTTTAGGAGTATAGTCAACTACTGATATACGTGAGACGAGCATGGACAGCTATGAATCTCGGATCCTAACATCATAGATGGTGGTATGGACTTGAAACAAAGAGGATCAAACTGAAAAATGGAGCGCCAATTGAAGAGCGTGAAGAGTGAACCGACGTGGGGATTTTTGCGCGTCATTTGGCGTGCACAGGCAGAAAGCACAGAGGATGTTTTATATTCGACGTCATCAATTCGTTTACATCGAGTAGCTTGAAGTTTTTTGAGGGTAGCCCCATCGTTGGAAGTTGCCTGGTGACATCTAGTAGAGCCTCAAGTGTCATCCCATCCCATATATCATTCCTAATCGTACTTGTGAGGAACCATAATACCTTTGAAGTCAGTTTTGGCGGAAGACACAATGGTGGTGTAGTTTACTACTTCTTGTGAGCTTGTCATTTTACTTACTATGTATTTAATATCTAAGAGTGGAATTTGTTTTGTAGTTTTGCTGTGCTATTTGTATCTACAATATCCATATTCATGAGCACTCAAAGGTCCTCGTTTCTCATTTTTTAAACCTAGGTGTAATAAGCTAAAACAAAACGGAAACGTTTCACCTGATGGTTAAATAGTTGTAAGGGTGATTTTCTCGGGTCTCATCCAGTAAGGGGGAACATGTGGTGCGACAGTTCATATTGCATGAAGTAATCCACTTTTTTCAGGGAGGGAAGCTCCGGGGTGGGTGTTTAAGCGAAATGGTTCACGCACCCCGGGGATTCCCTCCCTTGCAAAAATTGGAATTTCTGTAGCCGGCAAGAACTGTCACACCACATGCCCCCCCCCCTTTGCTGGATGAGCCCATTTTCTCTTCTCGGAAAGGACGTGCCTATGGAAATTCAAGATCTTACATTGATTTTCTCGCGTAACTCCTACTACACTATGTCTTCGAATTTTTGCATGGATAAACTGAACTTTCTGTCATAGTGAGCTGTCGTGCATGTTTTTTTTGAGCTAGACGAGCCTAGATGGGAAAGTAAAACGAATTGTGTAACCGAACACATTCAGCAAAGAATCTAGCTTGAGCAAACGAAATAGGTGTAGTGCACGCTGTTTTCGGCTGCGACTCCAATGAATTCACTTTCAAAGTCGTTTCTCATTCTGTCTACAACTTCACCTCTCACAATCATAAAGGCCATCTCTTGGAGAAAAATAATCCCTAAACTCAGCAGTGGCGTCTAAAGTTGCACGGTTACTCTTTGGCTCAATGTTTTGATGTCACGGATCTCTATTTTGATGTTTTGAAAATTATAGAAATATGAAGTATTTAGAAGCAGGTGTATTCCTAGTGGGAAAAGACAGGTTGAAAGTGGTTCTTTTCGTAGGTTAGCTGAATGTCCATCGGTCTTTGTGATA